TGCTTTTAGCGATGCTTCGGCCCCTTCCCTGCTTCCCCATGCCGGTGGACACACACAGCTTCCTGGGAATTCAAGCCAACCGTCAGCCAGGCTGAGAGGCGGCTATGAACGCTGAAATGGGAGAATGCTAAATCAGGCCACCGGTTCCTGGAGGAGAGCAAAGAGGGAGGGAGGGAGGGAGGGAGGAAGGGAGGGAGGGAGGGAGGGGGAAGGGGAGTGCACTCACCTCAGGTGGAGTTACTTCTAGAACCGTGTACCTCACACACAAGAACACTGCAAGAGTCCTGGGGCAGACACTAAAGGCTCCAGATTCAAATCCATCAGCAGTGTTGCTCATGCCCCCGGGTGCCAGCTTCGCTGGCTTCTCCTTCTGTGGCATAATATTCCCTGTTTGAAATGGAAAATGTGAAAACAACACAAAGTTAATAATCATCACACACAAGAAAGGTAAATCTTCACATCCTTGGCAAATTAATCAGGCCGGGCCCCAAAAAACAAACACACAAAAAAAAAAAACAAAAGAGAGAAAAAGAGAAATCCAAGAACCAAGTTTCTTAGGGAAATTCACTCTTGCTCACTCAAGAGACGTTTTTTTTTTTTTTTAATGATTATTTCCTCTCTCTCACCCTCTGATGGTTCACTAGTGGACAAAAAGTCTTGCTTTGTTTTATTTTTATTTGTGTGTGTTCCTCTAGCGAGCTCCCAGGGGTGATTGGAGTAACTTCAGAAAACCCGGGCGGGGAAGAATGAAAGGAGTCCAGTGGGGAAAGCCCCGCCTCTGCTAATTGCATCTTATGCCTATGCAGCTCATTTACATATTTGTGAATGACCTCACTGGCTAACTGCCCCCGCCCACCACCCTTCCCTCCTTCCTCCCTCCCCAGGAGATGGCCAAGGGGCCCAGTTCCCCTAGATTCTAGGCTGGGCAAATTTCCAAAGTGTTTCTGTCCTGTCCTTGGTCCTGTGGCTTGTAGCCCTAGGATTCACCGTTGGTTTTTTGGTATATATTGGTGAGCAGTGAAATGATTTTTAAACCTGATTCTTCTTTTGGGAAATACATATATATTGGTGCTGGTCCTGAGCTATTTATTTGCCGGTTCAAGGGAGATGAATCTCACTCACAGACTGTCCTGTCTGGGCCAGCAGTTTGGAGTCTGGAGACACTTGGTTCTCAGCCTACCTGGTATGGCAGGAACTACAACCAGACGCAGCTGCGCCAGTCTGTTCACTGAAGCGACTCAGCCAGCTTCTCCCTCCCCGGGGAGAGGCAGACATCTGGCCAATCAAGACCAGTTGCTTCGATCATTTTTCTTTTCCTGGCAAATGAAGCCTTTGTTGTCTTGGTTCATCTTTTTTTTCTTCTGTAATAGATCTCACCATCAGATCAAAGAAAGTCAGCCACGGCTCTTGTATTTTCCTTTTTCTTGTAGAACTTTGCTCTACAAGTGACAAATCATCCCCCCTCCAAAAAAAAAAAAAAACCCACCCCACCCCACCCCACCATGGCACACGTGCCATGTATTTTCCTTCAATAAAGTTTTTCACATTATACATTTCCTGGGGAAACCGTGGGAATATTGTTGATATCCCACGGATGCCAAACTGTCTTCTGGCTCGCCTGTAGTTTGGCTTTGGATCTTCCCATGTGCGTGCTTGGTTTGCACACGTGGATCTTGTATTCCAAGTAGAGTCCGGAGCAGACAGTGCACACACACGGCTTGGGTTTGAACTGTCGAGAGCCTCTCTAATGTGTCTCGTGAAGACATTCTTCCAACTTACGTTGCAATGTCGGGTAGTTATTTTTTCTTTCCATTTGCTATTCTTGTCTTACTGCGTTGTCTACCAACGTTCCTTCTTGAGCTTAAAGGCAGTGGCCGGGAGCCTGGGTGTCCTATGTGTCTTGTTTCTGATTTTAGAGGAAAGGCATCTAGAATTTTCCACTCCAGCATAGAAGGATCTTGTTTTTTAGCCGCTCCCCCTGCCATAAATTTCATTTCTTTTGCTCGCAGGTGTGTGTATGTAGAAACTTGACAGGTCCTTTGCACACACACACACACCAAATTCTAGATCCTTCAGGCCTGGGCCTACAGATCTAGATAGCTGGAAATGCTTGTCTTTTACAGATTGAGTCAGAAAAAGTCCAGAGAGAGAATCTCAGCGCAGGTCAGTTTTCTGGGCTTTTCCAAGCTGTGTCCTTCACAACCACAAAACCAGCTAGAGCTGCTCCTATGTTAACAGGAGATTCGCGTTCCTTTTCCCTGTCCTAACGTTACTCTCCCTCCCCACCCCCTCCCCAAGAAAAGTGTGTCATCTTCCTCCTTTGTTGCTCTCTTCTTATTTGTGTTAAAATTCTTTTATGGTGGAATCAAATGATAAACCCTGATGTTAATTAATCCGTCCACATTGGGGAATTCTTGAATCGATGGATCCACAAGAACAAGAAAAAAAAAAAAACAATTCAGAAAATTCTCGGCCTTGGCTCTCTGATACCGATTTTTTTTCTTTCTTCCCATTGCCTGTTTTGTTTTTTATCCGCCGACATTGTTTTTTTCTTCTTGTTTTGAATGTTTGGACTTTAGCTAATCTTTCTTTTCTTTGGCTCTCCCCTCCTGTGGAGCTCAGGGCTGTTCTCCCCCCCCCCCCCCTCCGCAACACGTCGGCTGGCCCCCGAAACCCCCCCCCCCCCCCCGGTTGTGCACACTGAAGGTGAGAATTGGGCTTTGGTTGTTGGTTTTTTCCTGTCATCTCTGCATCCTAAGAGAGGAAGAGGAGGAATCCTTCCTCATTGGTTTTGGTTTTGCCGAACAATATTGGAAGGGACCCAAAGGGAATTTTTTTTTTTTTTCCTCTTTTGGAAACAAATGTCCAATTCCTCAAGGCTCTTCGCTTTTTTGTTGTTGTTGCAAATCCCAAATGGAAGGGGCTCGTGATACAGGATGGGAAAGAAATCCCGAGGCCTTCACCAAAGTGGGGGGGACGAGAGAGCCAGCCATCTGGGTATCTGATGATGGCTATTGGTCATATTGGGCCACGTTTTGGTACCAGGGGAAACTGAGTCAAGCCCCACACCTCCCACCCCCAAAGTGCTTTTCCAAGAAGTTGTAGAGGAAGGAGGAGGAGGCAGTTGTTGCTCAAGCTTTATTCTCCTTTGCAGAAAACAGCTGGAGGCAGGTGCACCCCATTTTCTGTAGCCTGACCCTCACCTGGGGGGGGGTCTCGTTGCCCTCAGCCCTGTCCCCACAGAATGGGGCTTCTCTTGGGCTCCTGTGGTGAGGGAGCCAGCTAGGACCCCCAAGGTCAAATCCCACCCCTGTGCTAAGTAGGTGCTCAGCTAAGTATTTGTTGAATGAAGACGACTTCACTTTCTCGTGGCGACGTCTTGGTCCAGATTTGGCCCAGGAGGGGCAGCGCCAGGGGCTGCTGGGTGGATATGTGATGTGAAAAGAGGGTGTCCCTGCAGTACCCCAGCCCCCAGCCCCCTCAGCCTTGAAGAAAAGGTCTGGGTTTCTCAAGCGGCGTCCAGGTGAAGCCTCACGGGGGTCAGGGAGGGGCTGCCTGCCAGGGTCTTGGCTATGTAGTCCAGCCCTCAGCCTCTCTCCATGGCTGGGAATACACGAGGGTGCCTAGAGGACCTGCCTGACCCCAAAACACATGGCTGGAGCAGTTCCACTAGCAGTAGAGAAAAAGGGGTGCAATTTAGATTTCTAAGGGGAATAGAAAAATCCCCACAGGAATAAAGCCACTCCAGGGGTGGGGCCATCGAGCAATGCATGATGGGTGATATAATAAAGGCTTGGACTGTGTGGGCAATTTAGATGACTAGATTGGACTGGCCACCAAGCAGTATTGGCTTAGACACAAAAGTCTCAAGAAAATGCCAACAGCCAGGACACTCGGACCAAACGCCAAGATGGTTTTACTCAAGAGATGCTGTAAAAAAATTACCAGGGCATTGGCCCAAGAAAGATGAATTCATCTAGGCATGGATGAATTTTGGAAGTTTCCAGAAATGATGGCTTTGAGCAGGGACTGCTGATCAATGTCTGCCAGGAGCTGGAGGCCCAGAGCTGATGATCGTGGTTTGAAGCCAGGCCAGCAAACCTGAGCCCCTCACTTCGGAGGAACCAGCATAAAGCCAGCACAGAAACATGGTTCAAGTAGTAGAGAGCCATACCTGAGGCTTGTTTTATATTAGCGCATACTGGGTTATCACTGAAGCTGGGGTACCATGGTCTAGATTACAGGCAGACGTGATTTATGTTGGTGTATGCCTTAACTGTATGGAACTGTCTTTTATGATGTATAGTTTTCCGCAAAAATCGCTTGACTTGTGGGCAGGAATGGTACGTGGGGGAAAGCAAAGAAGGGGTGACACTGCCCCCCAAAACAGAATGTACTTGGCTAACTGCTCTGTGTAAACTTAATAAAAGCCATTTTAGGTCTTTACATACTAGCAGTTTTGTGTTAGAACTGGGACTTGAACTCAAAAGACAACTCAAGACAGGTTCTGGCGTTTTCCCACTTGAGCCACGGCTGCGCTTGTAGCTCCTGGGTGGGTAACTAGAAACTTCTAAGTCTCCCACACTTTCCTCCCCCGGCTGGTTTGGAATCCTGCTTTTTCACAGCCAAGACAGTTTACAAGCAGCCCGGAAGTTGAAGGGGTAGCCATAGCCACACTGTGGGCATATTTCTTCTGACCCTTCAATCTTCTGGTTTGCCAGTCAGTCCTGGGGCTTGAACTCGGGGCCTGGGCTCTGTCCCTGCGCTGCTAGGCAAGCACACACAGCGCCACATTCCCAGTCCTGTATCATCCCCCATGTCAATTCCAAGTGCAGATGCGCTTCGCCCTATTTACACCAGCCAATCACAAGCTGATGGCGAACCTGAGCTCAGCCAATGGGAGCCCTGGAGGGCGGGGGTGGCAGGCTAGGTATAAATAGGAGCACGGCCCCGCCCCGTGCATGGCGCATCTCTACCAGTGCAAGAACCGTCCAGAGCGCTTAGAAATCCGTATTTATTTTGCATCTCCTTTCTCTTCACCTTCCCCAAGTGCGCAAGCAGCGCGTTCAGGACCACTCGGGAGTGGTCCCTACCCACTCCGTGGCCTGGGCCGTGGGTGCTGCTGACCAATCTTCTGTGGCGGGCTGGGCGCTCCAATCCTCTGCGGAGAAACCACAAAAACCCCGTCAGCCCCGGGGACGGACAAGGACTTTTGGCCAGAACCCTACGTACTAATAAATCTCCAGCGCTCCGGCCAGGTCGCACAGTGCATGCCTGCAATCCGGGCGTTGTCAGGAGGCTGGGGGCTGAGGACCTCATTTCTATCAGCTATTGCAGGAAAAAAAAAAACCCCAATCTCCCATGAAGCAGTAAAAAAGCCGGGAAGAGGTAGGGGCGTGCACGTACCGGTGGGGAACTGCTGGATGGGCACGGAGGGCACCTGCACCCCCTCGGACCAGTCGGCCACCTCGGGCTGCGTGGCTGTGAACTCGGGCGCAGGTGCGGTCCACTCGCCCTGGAACTCCTCCTTGGTGACAGCCTTCTCGGCCGCGGCCTGCTCCTCCTTCTCGATCTGTGATCGGGCACGGGATGGGGGGGAGGTCAGCAAGGGGGGCGGGGGGATGGGTGGCAGGGGAGGGCACATTCGGGCCAGGGACCATGCTCACCTCCTCGGGGTCCCGGTAGAAATAGAGGTCCGGCATGACCTCCCATGGGTGCTCGCGGGAGATGGTGCCGCGCATGCGCAGGACTTCCCGGGCCAGCATCCACCACATGAGACCCACTGAGTGCGCCCCCTGCAGAGGGACCGGGAAGCGGTTGGGTCCCCAAACAGCCCGCCCGCCCGCTTGCTCGGGAAGGAGGTACATAGCAACAACGAGGCAGAAGCCAGTCATTCCAGCTACTCAGGAGGCTGAGATCCAGAGGATCGTAGTTCGAGGCCAGCCCAGGCAGGAATGTCCATGAGGCTTGTCTCTCCAATGAACCACCAGAAGTGGCGCCACATTTTGTTTTGCTCAAAGGGCCCGAGCCCCAGCCCTAAGCACAAAGAGCTCAGGGACAGCGCCCAGGCTGAGTTTAAGAGCAAGCAGGCCAAAAGCAAAACCTACGCGGAAATCGCGATACCCCCCAAAGCAGACAATCCCCTCCAACAGGAAGCATCAGAGCCTGTAGCAAGGGCTACTAGCAAGCCGCGTCCACAGCGGAGGACGGGTGCTAGCGAACGCCTCGCCCCTCGTGTGGCACACTACCTACACTTGAGAACCCCTGGGTCACACAGCGCCCCTGGTTCCAAGCTCTAACAATGTGCGTGGGGGCTGGACGGGTGGGGGAGGGGAGCGGAGAAGGAAGGAGGGATCCCCACGACCTTGTTGTTGCACGGGATGGCGATGTCCACGTAGCGCAGTGGGGAGTCGGTGTTGCACAGCGCGATGGTGGGCAGGTTGACGTAGGACGCCTCCGTGAGCGGCTGGTGGTCCGCCCGGGGGTCCGTCACCACCAGCAGGCGGGGCTCGCGGAAGGCCGCCTGGATCTGGTTGGTGAAGGTTCCGGGGGTGAAGCGGCCGGCGATCGGGGTGGCGCCAGTGGCCGCCGCAAACTTCAGCACCGCGCGCTGCACAGAATCAAAAGCAGAGCTTCAGCCCCTGTACCTCCATCCTGTAAACAGTACTCCCAGGACCTGACCTCACAACCCGGGGACTTCACGCTCTCCCCCTCCCGCCAACTGCCCAAGCTCCACTTGGGGCATTGTGGGTAGTTAGCCAGAGACCAGCGCAACAGGTTCCCAACAGTCCACCTCAGACCTCCCTCTGCCTCCAGGGCAGACACCAGTAGCGCATGCCTGTAATCCCAGCTACTCAGGAGATGAAGACCTGAAGATCAGAGCCCCAACCTGGAGCAATGTAAGCAGCTCAGGCCAGTCCCCAGCTCTGCCTCTGCCCTTTACTCCCCCCCCCCCCCGGCAGCCTGTGCGCATGTGCTGGGGTGGTGGCACCTGTCCGGTGTTGCGGGAGGAGATGACGCTCACGTCCGCGGGGTTCTCGATGGCCACAATGGCGCGGGCGGCCAGCAGCAGCTTCTCCCACGTCCGCTTCAGGTTAATGATGTAGATGCCTGCGGGAGGCGGGGGGAGTTGAGTATGCAAGCCTCCTCCTCACCCGGGTTTTCTAGAAAGCTCCCATGTGCTGTAGCAGGAGACACTATCACCGCCAGTCACAGAGCGGAGCTCTCGTGGGGTCAGCGAGAGTCCTGCGTTGCTGTGGCACACCTCCGACACCCGGGGCTCAGCGGCCACGCTGGCCTCCGCCAGGCTTTAACAGTGTGCTGCCTCCCCTTCCCCACCCGAGCCCCGCCCCCAGGCCCACCGACCAATCAAGTCTCTCCCATCCTTCGGCACCTGAGCCCCGCCTCTAATCCTACTGTCTAATCAGAGCAGGCTCCAAGAATCACAGCATCTAGTGAGCAGGACACTTGTCCCAGCTGTCAGGAGGCTGCGATCTGAGGAACAGGATTTGAGGCCAGTGGGGCAGAATAGTCCAGGAGACTAACTCTGGTGCTGTGGCGCACAGAGCGCTAGCCTTGAGTTATGGAGCCCAGGGATAGCGCGGGGGGAGGAGGAGGAGGGACGCACCGTCGGTCTTCCTCTTGTAGATGTACTGCTCCATCTGGAAGTCCAGGTTGGTGGCGCCCAGGTGCGTGCCCGCCGCCAGGAACTTGAGCACGTCCTCCTCCTTCATCTGCAGGACATCCAGGGCTCCGGACATCGTGTTAGTTTCCCTTGGAAGTTACGATGGGAATCTGGAAGGAAAGATGCCCAAGGGATGCTGAGTGCTAGTTTCGTAGAAATTCTGAAGTCAGGCATCGTGGCCCCCATCTGTAACCCCAGCTACCTGGGAGATGGAAGATCTGAGGATCAAGGTTCTAAGAAGTCAGCCAGGGTAGTTAGAACCCACAAGACTCCTGCCCAATGGGCCATCAAAAAGCCAGAAGCAGAGCTGTGGTTATTGGAAAATCCACATGCCTGCTGCTGCGCTCACCACAGCTGAGTTATGAACACAGCCCAGGTGACAAAGAACGAATATATGACCACCACACACAGATACATGCATGTGAGGCTCGGAAGGCGGCTTAGTGGTAGAGTACTTGGGTGCACGAAGCTGGAGTCCTCAGGACCCACCACCCACATCAAGAGGCCTAAGTGGCGCTGTGGCTCTAGTGGTAGAGAGTCAGATCAGGAACAGTGCCCAGGGCCCGAGTTCATGCACGAAGACAAGCAAAAAGTAAAAAAAATGAATCCTGGTGAAGGTGTTATACCGGAATTCGGGGACCCCCAGAAGACCACGATCAAGCAGGGTAACCAGTGACGCTAAGAGGCCCTGAGCATAGAATCAGCACAGTTTTTATAGTATTGAACAAACAACTTTAAGGAACTTTTACATAAGAAATTACATGATTGGGTAACATTTAAAGCAAGCTAAGCTGGGCAAATATAATTGGTTGACCTTTACAGAAAAATGTGCTTGATCGAAAACGGTTATGAGCCACACCTGGACCAACAGAATGCATGGCACGTCTCACCCTGGGCTCTGAAGAACTGGTTTGGTTAGAAACTCTTAGTCCTAGGTGGCTGGGGGGCAACACCACGTGGGGGCTAACGCCTGCCTCAAGCAAACGCCATCGATGGCTCCAAGATTGTGCATGGCTTTCTATCATAAATTCCTAGCATTGGGGCTAAAATGGATCACGACTCAAGTTGCAGAACTGAGATGAAGTGTTTAACAAAAACGGAGTTGCTTAGGTTTCTTTCATTCAGGGGGTGCTTGCCTACTTTGATAAGGGCAAGTCCAGTTTTCTGCCTCTTTCACTCCACTCCTGGAGGGTTTAGCAGAGTTTTTAGCAAGCAAAGGTACAGACGCGAAAATGGCTGTTAGGTGCTAAGTATTTTTACCTTCTTCAAAGTTAAGCCAGAAACAAGTTGTACAAACCACTCCTGCCTGTAATCGAGACAACAGGATACCTTCCAGACCTGAAGAACCTGCACCCAAATGGGGGGGGAGGCGCCACCCCCAGTTATGAAGCGGAACCCCAACAGAACCAGCCAGCAGAGAACCCAGGAGCCGCGTGAACAGCAGCCAGGGTGCAAAGCCCGGGGAGCACAAGCCTGTTTGGGGGTTTCTTCTCCCCGCTTTTTGGGGGCGGTGAGGAGTTGGGAAACGAACGTAAGGTGTGCATGTATCATCACTGTATTCGCCGGGGAAATCAACTCTTCCTGGGGTAACTAAGCTTTAATTGTCAAGGAGACGCGGGAAACGGCTCAAAAACGCCAACAAAGCCATCACCCGCAGGCCCTGGAGGGCTCGAGTGGAAACCACCACCCGAGATGAAGCCGCTGGCGGAGCGCGAGGCCTGGAGCGCGCGGGAGCCCAGGGCTGGGGCCGCGGGGGTAACGGAGGAGCCCGCGCCCTCCGCGCCTGCGCAGTGCGGGCCGGCCGGGCCCGTGCAGGCCGCGCCGGCCGGGCCCGCGCTCCCCGCGGCGCCCGCGCCCCTCCACACCGCCTCTCCCGCACGGAGGGAGTCAGCGGAGCCGCGGGGAGGGAGACGGGACACGTCCCGGAGGGAAAAAAAAACTACGCACTCACCCAGAACAACGCCGTATGGAGCCCGGGCCGAGTAGCGCGGAAAGGACGGGCGGCCGGAAGTGACGCCCATATATAGCCCGCCTCCAGCCAATCAGAGGCGACGGTCGAGGGGGGGGGGAGGCGGGCCAGATGGGTGGAAGTCGCCTGGCTGGGTGTTTCCATTTCCGGCAGCCTGGGCTTCCGGCGCATGCGCCGTAGCAGAGTCCTCGCGTCTGGTAGGTCTCAGCCCATCGGCTCACTGGCCAATGAGAAAGCGAGTTGAACGGGAGGCGGGCGGGGAGGCCCGAGGGGGCCATGTGCCTGGCCCCGCGCATGCGCAGACAGATCCCTCGCGTTTGTGGGCCGGTCTCCTCGGTGTGGCGTAGCGGCCAATGAGAAGGCGAGGTGAGCTGAATGAAGGCGGGACCAGAGCCGGTGCGGTACCCGGATGAGGCGCTCGCGGTGCAGGAGGCGAGGCGGGAAGGGAAGGGGCGGGGGAGGGGGGGAGCACGGTGCGCATGCGCAGACTCCCTGGCTCGCTGGCCACCTGTGGGCGCTGGGCGGCATCCTGCCTTTGCTCCACTCTTGAGCCCGAGCTCAGGCCCTGCGCCGCTCTCCCCCGTCTTGAGTGTGTGTGTGTGTTCCCGACTGGTGCTTTACCACTTGAACCATGGCCCCATCCTGCCTTTTTGCTGCTTCATGCTCGTGGACTTTCCTGCGGGGGGGGGGGGCTCGCTTTAAACCACGATCCCCCAGATCTCAGCCTCCTCCTGCTGGCTTTGGAGCTTTTATCGCATAGATCTCACCCCCGAGAGTGGAATAGCTTTCAAGAAACTTCTCGAAAGTGCAGGCAAGCCGCTGGGGAGGGGTGGAGTGGGCGATTCTCCCATCACCCTTATTGTGACTGGACCTCGAGAAGTTTCTGTGAGCATCACCAGTGTGTTTCTAAATGGCAGGAGCCCAGGTCAAAGCTACGTAAACACAATACGTAATTGAAGAGAATTGAGAAGCCGGGACATGCGCACCTACCATCCTGGCTTATTCATGAGGCCACGATCTGAGGCTGACAGTTCAAAGCCAGCCTAGGCAGCCAAGGTGAGGATGTTTTTATGTCGGGATTAGCCAGCAAAAAACTATGAGCCCAGGCATGGTGTGAGCGGTAGAGCGCCAACCTTACGCAAAAAAAGACAAGCTAAAGTGTGAGGCTCTACATGTAAGCCCTAGTACTGGCATGAAATAAAATGAAATTTTAAAAGTGGCCAAGAAAAGACTGAATTGTACACTTGACATAAGTGAACTGTGTGTCACCAAAGGGGAAAAAAAAAAAAAAACCAAAACAAAAATACACACAGAAAGGCTATGTGGGCGCTGGTGGTTCAGGAGGCTGAGATCTGAGGATCCTGATTCGAGGCTGGGCTCGGGTGGTCCAGTGCCCGCCGTGAACGCAGAAGCTGAAGGGCAGCGCCTGGGGTCTGGGTTCAAGCCCTTAGCACCAACACCCAACACGAGACTGTTGGCTGGGGCTGGGAAGGTGGCTCGGTGGTAGAGCGCTCACCCCACGCATGAGACCCCGCGTTCAATTCCTCAGCACCACGTACACAGAAAAAGCCAGAAGTGGCGCTGTGGCTCAAGTGGTAGAGCACCAGCCTGGAGCTGAAGAGCTGAGGGACAGCGCCCAGGCCCAGGGTTTGAGCCCCACAACAAGCAAGACATAAACTAAAGAGTGTGGGGAGTATTTGTCATCAAATCGCATGGATGGTGCAAACGTCCGTGTCATTCTTCCCGCGTGGAGCGGGGTGGGGGGGGGAATCGCCATTGAGCTTCGCAGCACAGCTTTCATGATGAACACTGCTTTATTCATGGGGAGGAAAAACACACGAAAGAAAATGCCAGAAATACCCGAGGAGGCTCCCCGCGTGGAGTGGCCCGGCCCGGGCAAGAAGGACGAGTCTGAGGACGGCTAACGGCAACGCTCATGATTCTTTGGCTGCGGGGCGAGGGGGGGGACCAGCTCCTGTCACCCCACCCGTGGCCCACGGAAGCCTCGAGAGGCTCCTGGACGGGGGCCTCCCGGGGTGCGGGGACCCCCCCGCGGCCCGGGGCCTGC